AGTATTTCTCGACATTGTTAATCGAAGGCCAAAGCACACTAGTACCGAATTTGATAAGACTAGGAAAGGATATTTTCCAAGTTCTTATCATTTAGTCAACGATTCATCTTATTTTATCGTCTTATTTCTTCAGAAATCTTTCGGGTCAAAGAATAAATCGTATAAACTCAAAAGTAATACTAACCTCAGTTTGAGGATTTGCAACTGATAATCCTTTATGCTTTCTTGAATCATCATATGGCCGTTCCATATTGATTCTATGCGGCAAACGAATACGCATTTCCTGCAGAAAAAAAAAATCTACAATTAAAATTCTTTTAAACGAACCCTGCACGCATTTTGAAGTACGAAGTCAGATGATATTTCTAATGGATGTGTAGCATTTACTGTGTAGCATTTACTTTTCCAGAAAGCTATCAATTTGACTTCTATTTCATTCACTTAAATTTTAATCAACTATTTTAAATCATCCTTTTTCTTATCTATCAGAACGTTCACAGTGGGATATCAAAAAGTTTTTAAATTAGTTTCATGTCAGTGTCTCTTGTCCTCTTTCTGTTCTTTGATATAACATCATTTAGAGCGGCTGCAGCTGAAAACAAACAATTCGCTCCCAATAATAACGAAACTGCCCTAGAATGCGTTCAATTACAATTATTCCATTAATCCAGAATTTCATTTTGTAACAGTTTTTCCTAAAGTCAGTTTTAAACACAACACAATTTGTGCCTCCTTTTAACCTTGTCTGCAATAGCCCTGCAGGTTCATCTTTAAGAAAATAAATTGAGATCTATGATAACCTTGATACGGATCTAATTTATCGAATCGTAGAAGTATAGCTTCTTGCAGCCCAATCTTATTTCCGCGAGAGGTTTATTACCTTTGTTAATATTATGTCTGTTAAGGCTCATTGGTTCCGTTCTCTTCCACCTGTTCTTAAGAATGTGTTTAGAGATGAAAATCTTTTTTAATTTATATCAAGTACTTGGACCGGACATTAAAAACGATGCTAACCTGCATCAATTTTTGATGCTTGCTGCGGAGCGCTTCCAGTTGCAGCATCCCTTGCCTAGATGCTTCCAGTCGCTGTCGAATCCGGAAATCCGGGTCATCACGTTCGAATGCTATCAATGAATCTATACTACCACTCGATGTATCACCAGACTCGAAATTTCCATTTGGTAATTGACGGCCAGAATTTTTAGTTGGTGGCGGAACAATTTGATGCAATGATGCGCAATGTATCGACATTCAACGGCACTCCGATAATTTTTTTGGCTCGACTCAAGCAACAGAGAAATAATATAATGCCAGTTTGTTCGAAAAAGGATGCGCACTTTTAGAAATTCAGTTAACGCCCAAAATAAGAAGCTGTCATAGAAGTTTTGTGTCATGGAAGTTCTACAAACTTTTAGTAAGAATGCATTGGTCTGGGTGGCATTTTAAAGGCAATCACTAAATCTATACTTGTAAATTATGTGTTTCAAAAAAAATCATACAATATTCCGAAACCCAACAACGACCCCAAAATAAACCAATTTCCAAAAATATATTTTTTTCATAATAAGCACTTCAAATAGTTTCAAAAGGAAAAAAGAAGTGAAAGTAAAAATATATAGCAAATATTGCATATTGTAAGCGGGAAAGAAAAGTGATTCAATCTTACAAAATATTCTAAAAATAAAGTTACAAATTAAAGCACTTATATATAAAGTAAATAGAAAAAAGTTAAAGGCACTGTTTCATTTATGCAAATTATAAAAACCGATAACGCTAACTGGATATTTGTGAGCATTACCAAAACCTACTCAGCTAAAGAACTGATCTGATAACAAACAAACTTTATAAAATGAGAACTTCTACTAAAAAGTCTTGCAATTTTTACTATTAATTCGATTTTTTTAATTTGAAAGTGCCACTTGGAAGTGTTAATTCTAATAGAGGAATAGCAAGAGTAGACTGACCTAAACCGATACAATCTGGATCAAAAAACTAATCATATCTTCAGAATTAGATATTTTTTTCATTATTTCCGCTGGAGAGCTTGAAAAGCTTTTGTGAACAAAGAAAACAAAATGTGTCTAAACTTGAATGAATTATTTTACACTTTGCAAAGGTACCACGACGTCGGCTATTATTGTTGAGATTCGAAATATTAAGCCATAAAACTACTTGATGTTTTTTTTTTTCAAACACCCTGTTAAAGACAAAATTTATTTTTTAGAATGAATAAATGATTCATTATTAATTGCAAAAACAAAATGGTAGGGAAATTTAATGCTCTATGAATTCATGCCTTATTCTTGAAGTTCCTATAATTACTTCGAATACAATGAAGTAATTAATTGTTCAGCACCAATTTCAGACAGTAAAAATTCGTTTGCGAATAGATCCGAATTCCTTCCAGATTGAGGGATTCTATTGAAATTGTCATTGGTTGTCAAATCAGTGATTACAGATTTCTGAAATTTACTTCTGATGAATTAAGGAACTAATAAATTGGAGAATTTTCCGAAGATAACTATCAACAAAAGATAACTTCCAATCAGAACCATGAACTGTAAAATTGTTTGATAGTTAAATATAACTTTTCATATGGGATGTCATCCTGAATTGCTTAAGGGAGATGTCATACTATCCTTCAAAATTGTTTAACTATTTTACCAGATTCATACAATAAAAAATCAGAGGTTATATTTACCGATCATAGTATCTATGATTAATTAAGTCCTGGTTGTACAACAATGATGGACGAGCTAAATACATTGTAGGAATAATAAACATCTTTCGAAGGCGGTAACAATGATTTGTGATATAAGGCGAATGCGACATCAACCATGTGGCATTATCTTCCCAAAATGATCTAATCCCTCGTTAAATGTTTTATTGAAGATCTAGAATGCTATCGGTAAGCTAAAAAAAAAGCGTAAAATTACTTTATATCAACATAATACGTTGCAGGCAGTAACTTTTCAATTTTGTGAATTAAAATTTTCTTGAAAGTCTCAAATGTTCATTTGTAACTTTCTAGTAAACTAAAATCGACTAGTTTTTCAATTTTTCCAGTAAAAATGGAAAGCATGAAAGACAAAAAATGCGCTCAGTTCACTTCATTTCTTTTCTCTGCTTTATTTCCAATATCTTTCGCGCATATCAACGTTTTTTTAGGAAAATTACCGGTTCGAAAAAAATCGATTGGTAGCAACAATTACCTCCATTTCTTCAAGTTGTTGCGGTAAAACTTAATACTTAAAAACTTTCCTGATCTTAACTTTATTATGCAACAAAATCACCGCTTTTCATTGTATTCAACACTTCTGTTCATCTCCTTTGAGGTTGTCATTTGCTCCATCTCTCTCTAATGTTGAATTACTTAACTGAAAATTCAAAGAAAAATTATGGATCTAAAATATGAAATTACCTCTACAGACTGTTGCTCATAATTGTAATAATTAATGAAGTAAGAACAAATGGAAGTATGAAGGAGCCTCATTAAAAAGAAGAAATAAACATCAGTTAAGATAATTATCAATTATTCTTAAATTAATTATTCTAGTTAAGCAAATTTTTCTCAGAGAAGTGATGAAAAAAACAGAATTCAGTTTCTAACAATTTAAATCCAACTAGATTTTAGAAAACGTAGTATTATTATTATTTTACTGGTTTGGTTCTTGCAATTGCTGTGGTTCTTGCAAAACTTTTTTGGAAAATAATGGATTATTTATGAAATATTTATACAAAACAGAAATATGATTGTGACCGTGATTGCAATACACAATAATTAATTGATTGTGATGATGGAGAGACATTTTAACAGAACAAGACTATCTGTGGTTGCGTTGCAACATCCTGCTCTACGTGAATAAGCTTTTTCCGATGATTACAGGTAATTAACAGTAGAAAATAAAATTTCGACTGGAAGTTCACCAAAACTGACAAAAAGGGAAGTGGAACTAGAAACGAACTAGACACTTGTCAGCCCATCTTCGTGGAATTATTAATCACAAAACGTAAGCACAACAAACGTACCATCGTATCTGATGTAGTTCACAGACAAACTGTACATACCACGAAAAATTAACGTTGATAATTAATTCATAACTAGTCTTTAATTTCGAAAACTTTCAATGTTATTTCCTAGCTTGGTTGAGAAGAAAAATGAATGATCATCCCTTCTTCTGAGATTTCTCAAAATTCTTGTCAAAATGGAGCAATTTTTGAAAGCAAATATATCTTAAGACGGATGCAAAAAGTTGCAATCGTTGAAGAATGGAAGAAAATGCAAACATACAAAATTGAGAACAAATATCATAAAGGCGAACAGCAAAGAATTTTGGTGTAGAAAGCAGAAAAGTCCTTAAAATCCTTGGTGAGAGAATAAATAAGGAGGGTAAATAAGAAGAGAAAGTCTTTCGCTGAAAGTAGTAAATAATTAAATATATTACGAATAATAACAGAATCAAACTTACACTGAAAGATTGACCAATGAAAAAGGTCAATCGAGATGAAAGGAGACCTGAAATCTGTGATGGCATGGAAACTTAGAAGTTTTAGTCTAAAAACATTTGTTGGGACACTACAGATGAATAATGAAAAAGCAAGAAAACAGAAAAAATACTTCAAAAATCTTGATAACATTTAATGTTATATTTCTTGATGAAAGAAATCTATAACACAACAATGCATAACGAAATAGCTATTTATCTATTTTAAGCGTTAACTGATAAGACAGCTTCATTATTAATCGGTTTAGTCCTAGTACAAAGCGGTCGATCCTTTTTCCATTCTTTTTTCTTGAAAAAGAGTGGGATATCTAGTGTATTGCTACCAATAACAATCAAATTGAGGCAGAACACGAATTATCTTATCAATAGCGTGACAATCTTTTGCGCCAAAATTTGCATAAGATCTATCCAGAAATAAGTTAAGGCACTGAAATAAACTAAGGCATCTAAAGCACTCTGTTTGCCGCACTTGGAAACATATTCGAAGTCATTATGATGAAAACAGTATCAATATTACCAATCTGTAGGAAATGTGGAAAATTTTGGCCTTAGTATATGTGTATGTGTGGATGTGTATGTGTGTGTGTGTGTGTGTGTGTGTGTGTGTGTGTGTGTGTGTGTGTGTGTGTGTG